TTTAAGAGCCAAAACACGTGCTGAAGTTCCCCCTCGGGAGCTAAAACACATGCAATATTGCCCTTGACAATGGTGAGGACATGCTATATTTGCTTTTTCCCCGCTCTTTCTTCTCCTGCCCTTCAAAGGGTCTGTGCACACCTCTGAAATGAACCATAAGACATTTTTTATACAGTTGGACCGATAAGACAAGAGAAGATATGGCAGCCTTTCAGCTAAATCCCCCGACACCAACTGGTGGTAAAAGGGTAATTGTTTTGATTTCGAGACCGAGACCTGTTTAAGTTGTGGACTATAAACCCGTAAATTGTTTTTAAAACGGGTTTGAACTTATTTGTTGGACAACTACAGTAAAAATAGACTGAAACTGGGCCATCAACAGGACAACGGGCCACAAACAGACAAATATAACAACACAAACAAAACAAAAAATAACAATTTGATATCATGTCCCTGTGATAAACCATGCTTCAACTTGACAGAGATGTTGAGAAAGAAGTAAATGTCTGCAAACATGAATAAACTAAAGAAAGGAAAGGCCAAAATCCTTCTAGACACGAGCAAAATCAGCAAGGTTAGGAAACTATTAATGAGAGTTATTGAGATTTTTTTTTCTGTTTAGGCTCTATCTGCAAACAAACTGTTGTAGGTTTGGTACACTTATACTAAAATCTAATAAATTACATTAATTGGACACAGGTTCCTACTTAGATTCTGCTGTAAAGCCAAACTACTGTCCATGCACTGGAAAAACGACCTAGAAATAAGTTAAAATTTCCTAAATTAAGTGTATTTACCCTTAATTTAAGAATGTAGATGAGATAGTTAGCCAATGGAATGAGTATTTTCACAAATACACCTGAAATAAGACAATGCAATTGTATTTCAAAAGTAAATTGTCTTGTTCCACTGGCAAAATGTCTTTTTCCTCCTCAAATCAAGATCGAATGGACTTATTTTTAGAAAAAAATTACTTATCTACATTTCGATTTGTTCCAGTGTGATAGCTATGTAGACAATCAAAACTCAGTAGGTTCAGAGTTAAAGTTTGACATCTTGTTTTTTCTAGAAATATTCTAAATCTACCTATAGTTCCCCTCTAAGCAGATGATATAGTTATTCATAAATTACCATCACACATAGCAAGAGATTCTCAATGGTTGCAATTGAATGTTTGTCAACTTAAACTGTGTGGTTAAATGCCAGTGAAAGCTACATCACATGGTTTATAACTGATCCCTTCGTCCGTTCCAATTTGCATGTTTTCTACAGCATGGGCTACTGGCATTTACAGGTTAAAAATGATATATAATGTGACTTTGTACCTTTAAACATAAAGCCGCTGGATTGTTAGCTGTAAAAACAAAAGCATCATGATAAACCTTTTTTATTTCCTTTTCTGCAAGCTTCACCACATGACTGTCTCCTTGTGTTTAGTTTTAAGGAGAGCCTTTATCCTCAGAACGAGGAGTTATCTAATGGAGATGTTCAGTTAACTGTTTCCTCATGACTTTAGATTTTCCATGATGAACAAACAAGTGTGGGGGAGGAGGGATGGGGGGTCTAGATCATCACTGTAAACACATAAAGGCCCCGTCACTCTCCTTACACAGACTATAAAAGGCTGTAACATGAGGGACGGAGCTCCAACAGGCCTTATCAAACAGCTCAAGGCGGCTCCTTGGATCTGCCTTTTACAACCTGCTGACCGCCACCGATTAAAAGCCTTTTTATCTCACTTTGCAAGAATAAAGACAGATTAACCGTAGTTATTCTGTCACTGAATCATTCTTCTTTCAGGACGTTTGTCATGGTTTGCCTGTCGGTTGCAACATGATAAAAAATAAATCTTTCTAAAACTACGTGGACGAGCAAAAACATCCCCACACTTTTGTCACATAACAGGGAAAGTCTGCGAGGAAATTAGCTCTGGCCTTAAGAATAGAGCCATAAAAAGTGTCCTTTGCACCAAAATGAAGGAAAAACAAAAGTAAAATCAACCTAAACTGGTTATCGTTTTTTTTAAATAGAAATGGAAAAAAGCTAAACGAATCCAAATAACTAGTCCAAACGTGAGAAATGAAAAATGGAAAACAACACATTTTTTGTTTTTGATCTTCCAAATGAAACAAAATTAACTGTTATCTCTTTTCCAACAGTAAATTTGAAAACAAAAACTTGTAATTGGAAAAAGGCAGCAACGTTTTCTTTTAATCTCAGATTTGCTGTAAGTGACTTTAGGCTGGTCGTGAAACAGAAGCTGTCCATAAAACATAAAGAAGAAGCATTGCATTAACAGGTCTGATTTTAACAAGTCAAAAAAGAATATTGGAATGATCTGCGGAGAAATCAGCGCTTAACGCACAGCGAATTTCATCTTGAAATATACGCTCAGAAAACAGATACATGTGTTTGTTTTTTCTGTTATTTATTTAAAAACTTTTAAATTATTTGGTACGGGGTGTGCTTTGGTGGAACAGTGGTTAATGCACACAACCGAACCGGGTTCGAATCCTGTGGCCCTGGTTCTCTGCCGCATGTCTGTCACCCTCCCTCATACCCCTTCTCCTGTCAGCCTACTGTCCAGAAAAAAACAAACGAAAAAAAAAAAAAACACTAGTGCCGTAACCACCGTATTTGTTCCCATTTACTTATCGGTTAATGAAAAACTATAACTTGTAACATTGCGAGAATGAAGTCGTAAAATTACGAGAATAAAGTTGTAAAATTCCGAGAATAAAGTCGCAACGAGAATACTGTAGTCATACGTTTTCAAGAATAAAGTCATACATTACGAGAATAAAGTAATAAAATTACAATAATTAAGTTGTAAAATTACGAGAATTAAGTCGCAACGAGAATTTTCATAAGTTTTCGCGAATAAAATCATAACATTACAAGAATGAAGTAATAAAATTATGAGAATAAAGTCTCAAAATTCCGAGAATAAAGTTGCAACGAGAGTAGTCATAAGTTTGCGAGAATAAAGTCATAACATTATGAGAATAAAGTAATAAAATTACGAGAATAAAGTTGTACAATTACGACAAAAAATTCACAAGAGTAGTCATAAAATGAGAGTAAACTCGTAAGTAAACTCGTAACATTACGAGAATAAGGTCGTAAAATTACGAGAATAAAGTTGTACAATTACGACAAAAAATTCACAAGAGTAGTCATA